AGCTGAAAACTTATAACAAAGTTTTAACACTTTTAGTTTCTCACCCACCACATTTAATGATAATAATGTGTAATAAATAATGTGTAAATACACTGCATAGCTATGGCCCATTGTGGCCAGCTCCTACCTAACTGGTATCCACAGAACACACACGATGTACCAGGTCCCTCCCAGTAAAGCATCATAGACACATAAGACTAACAATATATTGTGCACACTTTATGGCATTATGGTAATGTGTGGGTATACTCTGATGATGTAATGGTAAAGCAGGGACATACGCTGGTGATGTAATTCTAATATGTTGATACATAGTGCAAATATAATTCTAACACGTGGATACAAAGTGATGATGTAATTCTGATGTGTGGGCATAGAGTGATGCTATAATTCTAATGCGTGAGCATACAGTGATGCTGTAATTGTAGTGTGTGGATACACAGTGATGATGTAATTCTAATGTGTGGTAACAGTGATGATGTAATTCTAAAATTGAAATACACAGTGATGATGTAATTCTAAGGAGTGGATACAAAATGATGATGTAATTGTAATGTGTTAGCATATAGCGATATAATTTTAATATGAGGATACACAGCGATGCTACACAGTGATAATATAATTCTAATGTATGGATACACAGTGATGATGCAATTCTAATGTGTGGATACACAGTAATGCCCCCTCACACCCCCATTCTTGTTTTCTGCCGTGGGCGATGGCTCTAGTGCGGCTCATTTCCTGCCTGACGACACAATCTCTGTGGCAAAAAGAAAAAGGAGCAAGCTAGCACTGCTGCCTCTCTTCCTTTTTTTCCGTGTAAGAGCTGCAAATCCCAAACAAAGAAGAGAGAAAATGCAGCACTTGTGCGGGGCTCTGCTGTTGAACCTTTGGGCACAGTGTTTTACACAAAAAGCTAGCAAATCAAGGATTGATAGTAAGTCCACTTTAACCTAATAAGCAGTGCAAGATGCCTTAGATATTAGATCAGTCTGCTATATAAGGTTTTTTCTCAGTATGAGCAGTGCAGCTCGTTCATTGTGAGCTACACCTACGACCAGATGGCCGTTCGTCAGACAGGCGGCAAAGTCAGCCGAGTGGCCGTTTTGCTGTAGGCATAGCGACATACAGCTCCGCCATCCACATCGCAAGTGCCTGGAGAATGAAGTGGGGACAATTCCTGTCATAATTACAAGAAAGGCCACTGGGGACAGGATCCGGCAGGGATGGGAAACAAACGGTGCATGTTCCGCGTTGCTGTCGAACAAGGCGCATCGCGTATCGAGAGAAGCAGCGCCGTGTCACCCTCAGCCCATATCACACGGCCTTAGCTGTCATATCAAGTGCTGGTTAGGACAGAAGGATCATTAGCCTCTCTTTAGTTCACGGGGGGGCCGAGGGGGGAGGGGTGTACTTTAACCACACTTCCCCAGAGCAGCTGTCTGGCCGGTGTCATCCTAAACATACGTAACATAAGCCAAACACAATAAGTGAAAGGTCTCTGTGAGTCCTAATGAGCGCTGACAGACTCCAACTCTCCCATGACAATGACCCAGGGGTCATGTGGGTGGGGGCTGGAGTTGGATGGCGCACCCGAGCTGCCGTGATTGGGAGGCAAATGCAGACAAGTACCAAGTACTTGTGGGTCCATCTGCGAAGGTCTGTGTCTTTAAGGCTGTGTGTTTCTGCATTGTATATATATTTAGTGTTGGTGGGATATGCGACCGACTGTAATGGTACTGCCTGTATTATGTGACTGCTTTGATGTGTATGCCAGTGGTTCACATCGGACTGGCAGGTGACAGATCAGTGACCCCCCCCCCCACCCAAGGCTGATACCACACCCATCAGCCCACCACCTGCTACCTGAGGGGACTCTGGGGCCTGGAGTCAACATCTACACCCACCCCCCCGTCTCCTTGGCAACGGCAACATATCTTGCCACTCCCCCCAGTGCCCCCTGAGATGACGGGGCCTATGGAGACAGAATCAGAACGGAGGTGGTGGGGGCTGGCTTCTTGGATTGAGGGGGGGCTGGCGAAGGGGTCATCCCAGGTATCAGAGGTTTGGATTGATCAGCGGGTATATTGTCCCATGAGGATGCTCACACGTTCAAGGTTTGAGACTTGGGTGTGGATGGGCAAGTGGGAGAGGGATAGGAATGTTTCCATCAATTCGGTAGCTGTCCAGCCTAGTGGGAAAGGAATAAATTGACAGACCATCCAAGAACACAAACATTACATCCCACACAGTACATTGTCTCAGCTGCAGACACCTACAAACACCTGACCACACTTGACAGGAATTGAGTTTGAGGAAGGGCTGTAATTATTCATGGATGTGGGAAAACTGTAAAGGGTGGACAGGCAGGCAGTCAGAGAGACAGCTTCAGAAACACAATATGCCACAGCAGCCTCCAGCTGTTTTAAAGCTTCATTGCACAGGTTAACAAACCTCTGTAGTTCTCAGTGTCCTTCAACGGTACACCCCAGAGTTTCCATCTTAAAAAAAAACAAGTAATCAATACTTTGTCTTTCTTCTCTCATCATCCGCCGTGTGTAGTAATTGGAGCTTGAAATTGATTTCAAGCTCTTTGGGAAAAAAGTCAATAAGGGCTTCAAAATGAAATTCGTGTCAGATGCTAGAGACGGCTGACTGGCTGGCATGTCCAACCAGACACTTTCCCTAAGTTTTTTTTTTTTCTTTCCTTTTCTTCCTTAAAGGCATCAGTGGAGCAGGTGACAGTCCAGCTGTAGAGCACAAGAGAAGCTGATAAAGCGCAACTTGGAACAGCCTTCAGCAGCAGGGAGCGGCCCACAAATGAGACCATGACCACACGCTGTGAGCTGTCCAATGAAAGATGGGGGAACGGGACCATGACAAAGAGGCAGCATCCAGCCGGAGCAGCTCGGGTCGCCGTGGAGTCCAGTCACTCCTGCTTAACCCGAATTCATATATTCATTCATCTCTACTCTGTACTCGGGACACAGATGAGGAAGTGAGTGTGCATGTGCTGTTGGGGTCTAGTGGTTAAACATCAGCTGACTTGCATCATATTGCCGGAGTCCCCCCGGGAAAAGCCCATTAGCTGTTTCTCTGCGTTTACGGGGGGATTCCCAGTGGTCTCTTCTTCCTCTCACTTGACCTTCTTATTTTAACTCCCATGTTTTGACCAAATGGATTCTGAATTATATTTAGCAAACTGGATAAGTGGACATGGCTTAAGACTTATCCGTTTTAATACTTACATATGAAATTTAATACTCCTTGCCTCTGCAAGCGGGCCTCAAACACCAGGCCACGGGACCACTAGGCTGTCACTGAGTATGACAGCAAGCCAGACTGGGCTGGATCGGCACGTGTTTTGGTCTTTAATTGCAGAACGTGAGGCAATGGCAGTAAGCAAGTAAGGTAAAAATAATAAACATCTGACATGACTGTAGTCACATGATTATAATGCTTGTTCTGGGTGAACTTTCACTATTCAGATTAATGCCGATGGATTAAGTACTACTATGTCAATCCTGAGGAAAGGTCATGGGTTTTCTGCAGGAAATTTTTCCAGAATGGCACTGTTTTACTGCAGTACAGATCAACACACACAGCAGGGGTTTAACACAGTACAAGCACACAGAGAGAGTGCAAATTTAATAGAGTGCAGACACACACCTACAGCACCAATCCACTTCAGCTGAATTTTAATGCGCATCATGCAGCAAAGGAATAATTTTTGCAGTGTTTTGATTGGGAGGCCTCAAGAAATGCTGTCTACCATCGAAACCAAAATGAGAGCAGGTCACCCGCAGTGTGAAATACCCCTCACGATTACCCCCATGGGCCATTTTTGCCCCCTCTTTGCTTCCTCACACTCTCTTAAAGACTTTCAGATACTAGGCAAAGTGCATTTTCTGTGTGGGGGAGGGTGGGGGTTAGTACAGACTAATTCCATATAACTGTCTGAGTTCTCAGCAGACATGTCAAAGACTTACAGCATTATGTTCTATCGTCTAACGCAGGATAATATTTTGCAGGATCCCTAAGCGTAGCACCGCAGGGCCCTTGAGGGAGCAGAGCCTCTCAGTCGTAATTCCCGCTCTCTCCCGCCTCGCCACCCTTGGCCGCCCCGTACGCGTGACCGCTAGCTGCAGTCCGGCAGGTGCCCGACGGTGCTGTACAGAGATTACCCCCCATCGCTGGGGCTCAGCTCCACCAAAGCGATATTATCCGGGTCTCAGGGGGACTCTGCCCCCCCCCACCAAGAAAACAAAGGGCAGCCAAGAGCTCGCTCAACATCCTACATTTTCAACGATTGCGACAATTGATACTACCTCCCCC